TGGTAAGTCTCCCAACCTAATTATAATAATCTGCATTCACCTGACTTGGAGATGTCAAATTTGTGCAAATAACAGTTGAAATGACTTCATAAGATTAGTAAAAGATCATTAGTGAACCGCTAGTATAGCTGAATCAATGATAACTATTTTGAAAGCAACAAAATTTACTATAATCGATTGATAAATTTTTATATATTTTTTTTTTGTATGTATATTTCTAGAGAGAAACCTTTAACCGTCGCTGACAATTGCTGGTACATAACCTTAATGTCAATATCGAATATCAAAGTTTCTTATAACACATTTTTTAGGATGCTCTTTTCGAAGAGCATCAATGACTTAATAGACACTGTGTATGAGTATACAAAATACTTCGGGAATTAAGTTTATAGAAAATAAACACAAAAATTTCTTATGGGTTTCCTTAACTCTTAAAAAAGTATTATCGGCCCTTGAAGTGTGATATATGTTTCGTAATCATTGTTTTATAAAAATTTCATAACATACCCAACTCGATATAAATCAATTGATTTAAAATACACTTAATATCTCTTTAGTGAAATTTCGCCTATACGTCCTCAGTAAAATCTTTGTAAAGATTGCTATAAAAGTTTCCCTTTAAAATTAATTTAAAAACTTCTTGGTGGAATCCTGCCTACACCACTGATTCAAGTTATTGCATAAACAATAAATTCACTTCTCAACACTTTCTCAAAATCCACTACTGCTCACAGCTGTACCCTAGCGAAGGATGAATATCCTTCGAGCTGGAACTTTGTTGGTTACAATTTCAGATAAGATGTCATTCGAATTATTTTCCACAATTCTGTTTACACCATTTTGCTTTTACTTCACCCCATGCAAAATGTTGACAAAATGATGAATTTGTTAATATGAAAAGAATGAATGGAATAAATTAATTTTGCAAGTGTGATGCATAAGGACCAGTAAACATTCAAGGTGGTTACTTTGAGATTGTGTTTAAAAGATACTCACTCATAGCACAAGCAAAGTGAAAAACAGATCGGAGCTTTAATATAACTAAAGTTCTTTTGAATTAATGGAAAATTTTTATTAAAATCTAAATATTTTATTTTCATAAAGTAAGAGAATTTTTAAAATTTATACTCTTCAACTGTATAATTGAAATTTCAGAATAATTAACTTCCAGAAACGCTATTAATGAATTCATCAAAATAAATAAGTCAAAACTTTCTCAATTAGGAAACGTTGTCGATTGCATATGCCTATCAATTTTAGGAAAAAAACCAGGCGAACTCATTAACAAATTCACGCATTTCGATTAATACTATATCGGTTATATTATGAAGTTAACTAGAAAATAATGTGCTCCTAAGCTTTAGACTCTTACTAGATATGTCTGAATAGTGACACAACAGTTGTATTGACCAGCACACACGCTCTAGAAAAGTTGTTTAAGATATAACATATGTACTCTCGTGTTGTCGTATAGTTCAGTATTCAATATTATAGAAACGATATTATTTAAGATACTTGTATCTTTCTCCTATGGACTTAGCATGAAGTCCTAGATTTGAAATAAGTTGGTGATATTATCCATGAGTTGATTGCTAAAGTATGATTAAACCATTTCCAAATGAAATGTTTCAAAAAGTAGGGATAATTAATCAATGATTGATTCATCAATGATTAAAGAAATTAATAGGAAAGTTTTTATTAAAAAGGCATTGAGGCCCACCAGTTTGTCAGGAGATCATTTTTCGGTTTGCTTTTGTTAACGAAACTCTTAATTGAAAGGCAACTATTAAAGGTCTTTCTTCAGCTTATACCTGATTTATTACTTAAAAACTTCTAATACGTTAATAATACGTCTATATTCGCGAGTGCAATAAATAAGATATATGTAAGTTGATGAAATAGCTTTAACGGTTGTCTGAGAGCAAATGTCTTCTTTTCGATTAGATGTTTGTCCACAATAAATAGATAGGCTCTTAGAATAGCAAGGAAGAAGAATACAGTGCTAGAATTTATAACGTCTGTTTCCGTGTTTGTTTTGAACCCGTTGCAGGTAATTAAATATTACGTAGAATTAAAATTTTATTTTGTACTGATCATATCTCAATGTCTTGATGAAAATAAACAAAAAAAATCATTACATATATATTATTTTAATATAACAAATATATATTATATTTATTATTTATTTATTTTTATTTATATTATGTATATATAATTTTTATGTAATATATAATGTTAAGTTATAATATAATATTTAAGTCCCTGATGATGACTTTAGACTGAAGTCAAAATATCGACGAAATAAAAATTATTGTATAATAAATTTTGCGTTTTTTTTTTTGTAATTTTAATTTTTAACTACAGTAAAAAATTTGGCCATAGTAAATATGAAGCCTTTAAAAACACTACATTAAAAAAAAATATTCATATTAAAAAACTATGTGAATTATTGCTACTTCGATGGATGCTATCACTTTCTATTAAATGTATATTCCTCAACTGAAACGTAATAAATTCTTTGTATTTATTATTACAAATTTTATTATAATAATAACAATAATTAACTTGTTTTATATTATTAATTATAGCTAGAATTTGTAATCTGTTATCTATCTGATTATAGCTTTACTGAACACAGAAGTGTATATGTTATTTCCGTCTGTCCGTCCATAGACGTACCTTAAACTAATTACCTTCTCATATGTTATTTAAATGTTTTTATTTTAATATTTAATTTTCTCATATTATATTATTGCTTAATTTTTTATATGTATTAAAATATCATACTGCAGAATAAATGGCTTATTTAGAAGCCAACCATTTGAATAAAATATATTTCAATAGTTTTTAACTCAAATAACATTTTTTTTTAAATAGACAAAATAAGTAGAAAAGTCTGTAACAAAATACAAAATTTTATTTTTTATCATTGGTATTATAAATGATTAAAATAATACTTCCAAAACTTAAAAATACACTTAAAAAATACACTAGTCAGACAGACGATCTATAGGATTATAGTCGCACAATTTTTTTGAAGCATAATTTTGGGATTATTGTTACTATTAATAATATATATATTATATTCAGTTCCTCAACTAAAAACTTAGCCTTGTATCGTATTTGGAGCCTGCAGTATAGTTAGTTATGCCCTCTTATTAGAAGAGACCTTTCAATAGCTAGATATCTGTAAATAGAAGGATGACAGAAAATTTACTGCGGAAATATGGAAGATGAAGAAGGGAATCAATATTTACTGATGAAAATTCGCAAAGATAAAAATGTAATAAAGTTAAATGCTACAAACTTAAAAACCATTTCATATACTTATAATTTACTGCATGTTTTAACAAAATTTGAGTAAAACTTAAAATTGCTTTTCAGCGCACTCAACACTAATGATCCACTTAATCCGGCTTTTCATCTCATGTAAAAAAATGTAATCTGAAAACATGTACATTCGAAGAATCCTTGGTATTGCCTTTCATCAGTAAGTTTTTAGTTCAATTCACATATCGAGTAATGATGCTCGGCCTTCAGCTATCATTAGCTGGCAGATATTGAGAAAGTATTTTTAATAAGCATTAAATATAGTACTCAAGCTCCTAATATTTGCTTATTTGCATTTCAATGCTTTGTGGGGCTGTTGATATTTGTATTTTGAATTTAATGAAATGCAGGCATTCAACGTAGGAAATCGAACTAATAATAGGCTTAGTTCGGATTTGCTTGTCGAAGATATTAGCATTTAATACAGCATAATTAGTGAAAGCAAATTAGCTGTAAGAAATCTTATACAGCCCACGTAGAGCCATTTTGTTTGTGAATTTAATTGCCTATGTTAGCACAATTTACTGCAATTAAAATTATATGAATACTTATTTAAATATATTAAAATCAATTTATAATTAAATTTGGAAGTATTTGCTTTAACTTCAGAATTCGAGGAGCATATCAGAGACGGTAAAGCGAACCAAAACAGTTGTGTCCATTAAAAGATTTAGTTATATTCTCCATAATCTTGAAGTGGTTCTGTAATTGAAACTACTTTGAAATAATATATTTAACATAGCACGGTTTTTATCTTACTTAGGATATGAAAAATAATTCTTTATTGTAAGTTGAGTGTTATTTAATGTGAGTAAGTCATTAAAAAAAACACAATAAGGCATTATTCAGACCCAAGTTGGCTTTGGTGTAGAAGGCCCTTTTTCTAGTCTAAGCTAACCTGACACGAAATTCTCATTAAATAAACAAAAACTTATTTGAGATTTATTTTTTATTGTAAATATTCAAAACCGGCTGATTATCTATTAAAGCCTCCAAAAATGCTGTGTGATTTAATCTGAATCACAGAAATGCGTATAAGTTTTACCCAGTAAATAGGTTATAACAAACCTAGTAATACTTTGGCTTGAATAATCATTTTCTATAGATTGCATATTTTTAGAGACGAAAAAGTTAATCCAGAATTTATAATTTAAATTTCGCTATCTACTTTTAGGAATAAATATATTGACATCAGCAAATTTACACGGTAATTCTGGTAACGATCTGAGCTAAAATCAACACACTCAAAAATCTTGCGAAATATCGTTAGGAAAAATTTTTTGTATTCTGGCGAAGGTGTTTTTGTAGTAAGTTTAAAAAGTTTTAACATGTTCAGCGGTTGTTAAACGATTAAAGCGATTTACTATCAAGCTGACACGTCTCGGAGTTTCGAAATAGGTGTTCAAGACATTCATTTATTACAATAAATGCAATATAATAGTTTGTGTATATATCTCATAACTTCATTCAATACACAACCCGACTAGAAATATTTTTCTTCTTCAATTTTCTGGAATATCCAAATTTTACCAATTTCTCGCCCAGAAATAAACTCAAAAATTTTTTTTTGCTTTAATCTACACAATTTATTGTTATGAAATAATAATATATAAATTTAAAATACCCAAAAAGATATTTTATTAATAATATTTTCTTAAAAAATACGAGTATTTGGTGGGTTTTGCTTACAACGAATATACATATATGAAATATCTAAATTTAATCCTCTCTATATCCAATCTTATTTATATTTGCTTAAACAGTAATATTACGACCTAAAGCAAAAGGCTCACTTGTGCCCGTCTTAACATAAAATATACCAGCCTTTGGTACTGAAGGTTCTCCTCCCATTCGAAAGAAATCATTTGGCTGTTCACTACATTCGAAGTCCTTGTTGGAACGCTGGCACCGCGTACCCCAGAAACCAATTTTGGACACAATGGATTCGGCAAACATTTTATAAGCACGTATATGTGAACAGCCCAGATAATAACATTTACGCTGATAATAACCATAATTTGGATAGAATGTGGCACTGCCAGTTGGCTCTAAAAAGCCCAAATTAGCACTTGTTTGCATAGACTCAACATATTTGGCATCAGTAGGATCAATACGACATTCAATGCTACGTTTTCTAAATTTGGGTCCAGCGGGGTCCAGCGCAAATATTGTATTATACTGCGCAGGCTTAAGACGTTTTCCAGCTGCACCAGCAATTTGTGCGCCCAATGAATGACCGATAACGTATATGTCATCATAATTGACTTGCATGCTGTCGTGTAAATATGTAGTAAATTTGGCTAACTGTTCACCGAAACCCTCAATCATTTTAACCACTGAGAAATAATTTAAATTTGTAGCGCTTGCACTCCAATCCGCAACAATAACGTTATAATCACCGCGACTGAGGTAAGCGTTTTTAACATCACGATTAAAGGATCCGCGCGTACCACTCATCCAACCATGTACAACAATTCTATAAAAAAATACATATATTTTAAGTATACTTCTCTAACCGGATATGTAAATTTTAAATTTACCTTGTTGGATGGGTTGCATTCAGTCCCGATGTGAATATACTGTTGTCACCTAAGAAAATCTCGTGACCACATTCGGAAAAATCTTTTTTAAACAGAAAATATCTCATCTGCATATCTCCCTTTGAGAATGGATTTAAGTTTTTGACTAATTTTTTCAAGAATTGAAGGTCCAGATATTTACTAAAACCTCTTGGTTCCCTTAAGTCCTTATCTTTATCACACTTATCCCACTCACAGAATTTATCTGATTCAAACTCGTCTTCAAGCGTTTCATTGATGTCTGTATTTTCGTCATCCGCTTCATTATTTGCAATATTCCTGCTATTGTGACTGTGATCATGTTTGTGATCGTGATTATGGTGGTGATTGTGATCATGTTGGTGATCGTGATTATGATGACGATGTGGAGTTGTGCTGGCTATAATATAAAAACAAAAAACCAAACAAATTAAAATAAATTAATTTATAATAATAATAAACATATTAATAATAATAATAATATATTATTTATATTTTATATATTTCATTTCTTGTATTTTATTATATACATTTATTTGTTTTTTATGCATTTTATTTCATATTTTATTTATTTAATATTTTTTGTTTTTATAAATTAATCTTAATTGATTATTCTGTATTTATACTTATATTTTATTTATATATATACTTTATTTATATTTATTTTATTTATATATTTACTTGCTAATTAAAGTTTTTTTTTATAAAAAATAATAGAGAGTTTTATACTAAAATTTTTAAAATATAAAAAATAATTTGTTTTACGTTCTTTATTTCACTTAATTTTTTTTTATATTTTAAATTTATTTTTCTGCGTTAGTTTATACAATTATATTTAATCAACTTATATATTTGATTTTTATACACAAATAAAAGTATTTTTTGGAATAATTGTTAGTTCACTTTTTCAATTATTTATATTTAATAAAAAGGCTGAATTGAAAAATTAAAAGCTTTTAAATATAAATATTTATTTACATATTTATTAATCTTTATTTATTTATTATTTATATATTTATTGAAGTGAAAAACAGAAGCTTATAAATATATAATTTTTCACTTCTGCCTTTTCATTAATTTCAAAGCATTCTTTTTTTAATTTAAAATTTTTGTTTAATTTATAGTGATTTATATTACTATAATATTAAAATTTTTTCACATTTTATATTTCATATACTTTATTTTAAATTTCATTTTTATCATACTTAAATTTAAATTATTTTATTTAATTTTTTTTTTGTATTTTATTTTATTTTAATGATGTTTTTAAAAATGTTTTTTTTTAAATCACATTATATGTAATTATGACAAATGTCCTTTTCTTTTCTCACACTCTGTAAAATTTATTTATATGTATATATATATAGTAATATATATTTATGTGTATTTATATTTTTATATATTATTAATGTGTATACTAACATATTATTAATATACATATATTAATATATATATGTATTAATATACACATAAATAGTGAAGTTCCTTTTCTGCTGAAACACTTTTCTCACTTTCTGTATAATTTATATGTATATTTATTTATATAAATATTTATGTATTTTGGTATGTTTATATATTTATGTATATATTAATATATTATATATTATGTATATACATAAATAGTAAATTTGTAACTTTAAATTGCGATTCTATGATCTTTGAGCTTTGTTAAATATATATAATGTATATATAAACAATTTTATACATACATAAATATATTAAGTTTATAAAAATTAAAAAAAATAATGCTAATAAATATTAGTTTCAATCAAGTTTTAAAAAACTTTAATTAGAAATTAAATGCATTAGTGGAACGCTTACCGCTTTGCAGGCTCATTAAAATGAAGCACATCGTTATTATGAGCAATTTAATTAGCATTTTCATTTTATTGAAGTTTAAGTAATTAATTAAATTAAATATAATTTTTATTCGTTATTTGTTAGTTTTACTCGTTATTCGTTTATTCGCGCCTAAACTAAACAGCTACGATAGTTTCGTTTCGGAATGAATTGTTGCGAGTTGAGCTGAGTTGAACCGAACTGGGCTGAGCTAAGCTGTGCTACGCTGGGTTGAGATGTTGCTCTTGACAATTGCTATCGAACTCTGTTAACAACAATAGCGCTAGCAACGACTTTTATATAGTTTTCCCTAAGACCGTCGCTGGTACCAACCATTCTACATGCATTTCGACTTTTATTTGTATTTTAAGTTATTTTTAAAATTTTTGCATTCTCAATTCATGCTGCAGTGTTTCCCCTACTCGTGCTCTTATTGTTGCGGAATTTCAAGTTCTTTACAAAAGATTCGTTCTACTTTATTTGATTTCGTGCTGCCACCTTTCCCCACTCAAAGCTGAATAACGTACAGAGTAACGTACAGAGTATGCGGAATTAATACCCACCACTCACTTTCTCATTGCAAACTTTTTAATTAAAGTTAAACTCTGCAAAACGAAATTTGGTTCAATTGCACAAAATCGGGTTTTCATTATATTTGCAAAATTTTTGATTGATTGTTGCAACAATGCAATAATATTATTTTTATTAAATTAAGGAAAGTATTTCAATACAACTGCATTGATCGGCGGTTAAAAGTTACGAGTACAGAAACTAATTGAAACAAATGAGAAGTTCGAGAATGAATGCGAAAGGAATTCCAGAAATTCATCCATCCAGTCGCATTTCATTGGGTAAATGAGGTTGCTTCAGTACTAGCTTTACCCGGCATGATATTGTTATACAAAAATAAATAATAAATAAAAATAGTTAAACTTATTAAAGTGAAATAACTCGTAAATATCTTGCAAATGGATTACTGGTCTATATATATCCTACCACAAAAACTTGAAATGAATTCTTTATTACTTTTAAAACATAAAAGGGTATGGTATCAGATAAAATATCTTGGAAGATTTAATATGACGATGTTATTGTGCTGATTCAAGGCCAATTTGATATGTTCAAATGAAAATTTAATAACAGTAATCATACGGAATGCCAATAAACTTATTTGTACTTAGCGGAAAAACCGATATTGGGTCGAATCATGACCTAAATATTGCTAAACAACCAATAATAACTAAGTCGAAATGCTAATATTTTACTTAACTAGTTGATCTTTGATCTTTGTATTGTTTTTAATTGCGGTTGGTAAGCCCATGTCCGTCAGTCAGCCAATGCAATTTCAATACCTAGGGTCAAATTTAAGTGAAGAAAAAGATGTAAAAGTAACTTAATTAAAATACTATAACTGATAATTTGTGTGACAGAAAGATGTCTATTGATCTTTCTGAAAGTCTGAGCATAAACAAAAAATACAAGTGAATGAAATGTGTGCCAGGATAAGATACAAATAAACAAAATGAAAAATGACAACATTAAGAGTACTATTAAAGTAATATCGATCACTAAAGATCTACAGAGTCCATATTATTTTAAAGTAATTATCTGTCATTAGAACACGATGATCTTAATATACGTATCACTATAATGCAATGATAAGCCCCCCCTCCATGGAAATCCAGAAAACTCAATTGACGCTATATGTATGTAGATAGTTTTCTTCTATATCTCTTCTGTTCTTTGAATGTGAGTATTGAATACAGTCATTCTGCCTGCGTAACCTAAGGTTTAAGCCACAATCAACACGATATTACTCTCAAAAAGGCAAACGTCTATTAGTCAGTACAACCAAAGCTAAGGGTCCTGTCCGTCTTGCTACTACATTAATACATCCGGTCAAGTGCGGCAAGTAAAACTAACTCACTAGCATTTATACTTTAACCAATATCGGTTGTTGCCTACTGGATTTAAGTCGATCCTTACAACAAGCATATCTTACTTTGGGAATATTCTAAACACTTTCTCGCGGGGGAATTGAAAACCTACACTAAAACAGTCTAAGCAGGTATGAAGTAAAAGCAATATTATGAGAAGAATTGTGCGTATGAAGGAGCAGCTAAGTACAGGAAAATGGTTATAGGTCACCTGGATGTGTTGGTTCGAACAACATAAAGAAATGCTATAAAAATGTCACAGTACAGTACTACAGATATATGATAAAGATGACCGAATTTGTGTAGAAATATGACATAAGTACTTGGGTGGTAATATTTTGTTTGGTACGGTTGCATGAGTCTGTCCACAATTTGGGTGAGTTTGATGGCATAAATAAAACCCAAGAATAACTTAACTTAAATTATATATGTGTATTCACAAGAAACGGTTGGCTCGATATAATATCATTAAGAATCACCAATATAAGGTGCATAAATTCAGTGATGTCCATCTTTCGATGTGTTACTTGTTGTGAAGCCTTTTCTATCATTTGATAAAATTGATAGATTGATAGAATTCAATGACTATATCAAGCGGTAATAATTCTTATAAAATTTTAACAAGCATATAGAATTAACATAACAGAAGCCTATCAACCAGTCAAGTGAAAAAGTAAAATTATTGAATAGTATATAGATTATCTATGTTAGTAAGAAATCCAACTAATTTTAGACTTTTGCAAACTTCTAGGACCCAACAAAGCCTGTGATCTAATACTAAATATGTGGTTTTCATATTTTGAAACAAATTAATAAATTACTTAAACTTAAAACTTTGTCAGAAAAATTAACTTAAATTTTTTTTTTAATTGAGGATAGTTCATAATAATTTTGTTCTCCAATGATATATTTTGTATATTTTATCATTGTTATAAAAATATAATATTACAACGTGCCATTATTTAAGCTTCAATGGGCTTTGTTGCACGAAGACGTCACTCCAACCTAGCCTAACCTATATCAGAATGTCGTTCATTTCAATAAAATACTGATATCATTTATATTGATAATTTATTGTATATTCAATAATCTATCATCCAAAATTATCTTCGTCGATCTTTATTTATATGTGAACATGTATAAATGAATCTAATATATTAGCCATTATCAAGACTGACATACTTAGAACTAAAAAAGTTCATTGCATTTGTTTGATAAATGCCATATTATAAATAAAAATAATATGTTGATAATTAAAAAAAAAAATTAATATATATATTTATAGTTCCTTAATCAATTATATTATTTCCTCAATTGAATTACATAGCAGGTTAATACAGTGTAAAATGAGTTGATTGTAATTACGAGATAAGAGGTTATCAAGTATTTTCCCCATGAGTAAAACATTTTTTTTTTAATTTTACATTAGGAAACAATCAAATATTATTATATATATTTTGTATTATACTTATGGATTAAAAATTATAAGTCAAAAGGCTAAAATATAATTAACTGATAAAAGTTTAGAAAATTATGATTAAATACATAACTAATTAAATCCAAACAAAAAAAAATTGCATTATAAGTATATTAATATTACACATTTAATAAAGAATTTCAAAATTTTTATTTAAATTTATTTACATTTACAATTTATTTACATTTAATTAAATGTAATTATAATTGTACACGAAAAAGTAAAATTCAATAAATCATATTTTATATGAATTTTCAAGAAAATATTAAAAGTAATTTATTTTCAATTAGAGAAAAATTTCACCTGAAAAGTTACTAGAAAGGATAATAGAAGACATTAAAATTAGATTTCTTTTCAAAAAGAAATGAATTTTTCATTGATAAATTAAAATAAATTCAAAGAAATAAAGATTTATTTTTAATAAGAAAAAAATTTTTACAAATTTAGTCAATCATAAATTTATCATAGAAGACTGTAAAAGAAAATTTATTATCAATAAAAATAAATTTCGTATAAAATATTAAAATTAAATTTATTTTCTACAAAAATTAAGAATTTCATACAAATAATTAAAAATTCATTTATTATCAATAAAAGAATTCCAAATGAGAAATAAAACTGTAGAAACATTAAACGGTAGAAATAGACTTTCTTATAAAAAATTAAAATGAAATTTATTTTATATAGAAAAAAAACATAATTCCACTAAAATATTAATTCCAAACAATTCCTTATAAAAACATAATTTTAAAGTTAATCTTAATAAAAGAAGAAATTCAATTAAATAAAAAAAAATTAAATTTAAAAAGAAAATGAAACATTTCAAATAAAAAAATCAAAATTAAATTCACAGCCTACAAAAAAAGAATATTACTAATGTTACTAATATTACTAATCATTTTTATACATACATTAGAATTAAAGCAATTTTCATTAACAAAAAATACTATAAAAATTTATTTAAAAAAATTTAAAACTATATGGATATATGTATTCAAATATATACACAAAATATACATAAAAATGTATACGTATATATTTAAAATTGAATTATTTTTCTTAAAAATAAAGTGTGTGCAGAAATAATTTATTAATAAAAAAATAATTTATTTATTTATATAAAAAAAATTCAGGTGAAAAATTATAAATAACTTTATTTTTAATAAAAAAAATGTCTCACATACAAAATCAAAAAAAAAAAATTAAAATTCGTGCTTAAATAAATACAATTTTTTAAACAATTCAAAATTAAATTTGTTTATATTAAAACTAAAACATTTTTATTAAAACAATTGTTATTAAAATAAAAATTTTTTATAATAAAAATATTATAAATAACTTAAAAATAATAACATGTATATATTAAAAACAATGTTATTTTTGTTTTTATTTATTTAATATTATAAATTTTAAATATTTATGTATTTAAATAGAAGTGCCTGCAAAAACACTTTATTAAAAAATCATGGGAAATTAATTATTTCATTATTAATAAAAACAATTGTCATTAAAATAAAAATTTTTTATTATAAAAATATTAAATATAACTTAAAAATAATTGTAGTTATATACTAAAAATTAAATTATTTTTCTTTTATTTATTTAATATTATAAATATTAAATATTTATATATGAATGGCTGCAAAAA